TAAGGGCGTGGCAAGGAGATTTCTTACGACCAGCTAGTTTCAAATGACCAAGGGGACACCGCATTCGTTGTAAGTAAGGAGTTCTTCCCTTTTCACAATGCACGTGTGTATGAATACACAGTTCCTGGAACAGAGGGTTCAAATGAAGACGATGATTTGAACGATTCAAAGATGGACATGTTTGAATGTTCGGAGCCTTGATGCGTGAAGAGTTTCCAAACGTTTTCAGAGCTGGAGTTACATTTGAACGTAGGAGACCATTGTGTGAAGGACGAAAGGCTGTCAGAAACAGTATATGATAAGCTCCGTAGAGATTGGGCAGAGAGGCTTACTACATCAGTCAGCATCACTGACGAACCACAGTGCGAAGCTAGTACCCACCAGGTTGTACATGACTCAATGCCACCAGTAAACACTGTCAGTATGGGTTGGGCCCTACCCAAATCACGAGCAGGATCCACTAGATTCAGTTGCAAAGTTAAGAATTATTTAACAGCAAAGTTTGTTCAAGGCGAACAATCAGGGCTAAAAGCTGACCCTCAGCAAGTTTCAAATAATATGCGAAAGGCAAGAGACGAGCAGAACAATAGGTTGCTTGACCGAGACGAGTGGCTTACCGAGAGCCAAGTGCAGGACTTTTTCTCTCGCCTTACAGCAAACAGAAAAAGGCAACAAACACCCTCAGAAATCGAGCAAAATCCGAAGGAACTGTCCCTAGAGGAAGAGGAAGCTGATCGTAATGTAGCAATGCTCAAAGATCGTAATGTAGCAATGCTCAAAGAAATCTTGTCGTTTTTTGAAGTACCATTTAAATCAAGAGACAGGAAAAAAGACCTTATTGAGCATCTTATGTCATTTATACAGGAATGCCAATGCTTTAATTCAACTATATCAGAAGCTGCATAGCCCAGGAAAGCAAATGATGGTGCCTGTGGAGTGAGTTTGTTTTAGATCAATAGGCACAGCCTCAAAGTAACCTAATAAACAGTTGGACTCAGCGAATTAACGTACTCACTTCTGAGAAAATTCGCGAAAATCTCTCAAAATTTGTCGTTATTAAGTTTGTGGCGATGTTAAAAACTCGCAAAAATTAAAAGAGAAAAGAGAAAGGAAAAAATACTACCCTGACCGTGGGAGATGTTAGTAGCATTTACGCGTAAATATAGGTTTGTGATTTTCTTAATTTCGAGAAGTTAATGATATGTGAATTTTGCAGGAGTTTATTAAAATTCCAGTTTGAATCATATGTATTATTTTTCAATTTCTCCCGGCAGGATTCTCCTACTCTCGATGACTCAATCATATTGCATATCTTCGGGATTCGCGTTTGGTTCGACGACAAGACAAACCTCTGAAACTAGATGTTGCGTGACCAGGCGTAACTGACTCAGTCACGTTGAAAAAGTAAACATGTAAATTTCACCTCTTCAACAAATACCGTTTTGAAATGATGAATATATGAATACAGTAGAGAGGAACTGCGGAACGAGAAGACGTTCATCGCAATTATAGACAAAAATTTTAATTTGCGAAAATAAACCTGAAAAATTCATGCTTGAACGTGTTTCGAACCCTTGACTTTTGCAACACCGCCGGTTCAGCGCTCTAACCATTAGGCTAACAAACCAACTGTGATGCCATTCTACAAATGACGATGAACAACTTGCTAACCAGTTAAAAAAGAAAACTTTAGCAAATAGCTGGGAGAAATGGTCAAATCTGGCAAATTGGCCACAATCATAACCACGAGTGAAATGAACAACTTCTCGAACAACAAATTCCGTTGGCACGTCGTTGATAACTGAAAACAAAGGCTAGCGCTCTTGAACATTAAGTAAGCTTCTCAAGTCCAAATGGGATACAACAGTAACTTTTCCACTTCTATAGAAACTATTGTTTGCATGGTCAAATATTGCTACGGAAACTATTTTGGATGCGTAACAAGGAACGCATGCAGCTAATTTGCATTTGACAGTACAGAAAAAGATTTTTCTGAAACATTTCCTCCATGCCATGTAAAACGGACAAAACAATTTTTTTTTATCGATTCTGATACTTCATTAAGGAGTTGGTACTTTATCTTCGAGCAGTTTTAGGCCGTTAGGGCTTAGAAATCGGATTCATGTGCAGATCGTGTTATCTTTGGTTTCGATCAAAATGGCGAATATTCGTTAAATTCGCAAAGCTCTCTGCGGCGCGCCATGAAGAGTGCCCAAAAGTTCTATTCCATAATTTACTTATTAGGTGTAAGTGCTTATAGGCTGTAATAGATTTGACTCTAGTTTAGGTCCCACATAAGAGAAAATAGCTTTCAACCACATGTACCTTGCGCATCATAAATTTCAGTGCTCGAGGTAAGTATTTTGAAAAATTTGTAACTCAGTGAAAAATATATACAGTGTGATTATTTTACCGTTAACGTAATGGCAAAAGGTTGATCTTAGACAGTACAAAATAGAAAGCTCGTTGGAATTGAAAATACGGCTACAGCAGCGATCGACTTTTGTAGCTAAATCATGGAGGTCCGGGGGGAAAACTGGGCGCCTTTGAGGTCACCTTGAAAAGTATCTCGTAAAAAGTGAAAAAACCAGACTGGTTCAAAGTAAACGCAATATTTGTTCATGGGATAGAAGTCTCGGCTTTTACAGTAAAAATCAGGGAAATCGGTGAAGGTCCGAAATTTGCCTTATCCGTTCTTAGGCGGACAGCCTCTTAAGAGCTACAAGTCAAAGGGAATTTGTTGGATTGCTCTCAAATTTTGACAGTAGCTAGTTTTACATGTAAACAACAAGGTGTCTCCGAATTTTTCATTTCTAAACCTTTTTTTTTAAGAGTGATTTTTGTACGATCACTCCACATTTTTTTAATCCTATCTTATCTAATAAAGAGAACCCTAATAAATACTAGCTCAAATAAAGCAAATGATGATTAACTTAAATATGACTTTCCAACTCTGGAGTTTTATGGTATCCATGTCGGACTTTTACATAGATTGCCAAACTTGGTAATATAAAATATGACCTTCCATTGGATTTTTATGGTTCCCATATTGGACTTTCACAAAGATTACCAAACTTGGTAATATAAAATATGACCTTCCAACCTTGGAGTTCCATGTTTCCCATGTTGGCCTTTCTCATAGATTACCAAACTTGGTAATGCAAATATGACCTTCCAACCTTGGGCTTTTAGTTTTTTACTTACCAAGGTTGGAAAGTGTATCTCTTTATCCAATTTTGGAGTTTTTGTTGATTCCCCATTGTTTCTCCAATATAATAACAAGCAGTAACAATTGCATTTCCAAATTTGGAATCTCTCAGTTCTTTCCTGTGCGTTTTTATAGCACAAAAACCGTTTTCGCAAAACCGAAAATCAAAATGCCCCTTTCTATCATGATTACAGGAAAATGAATGTGACTTGTTGTAACCCTAGGCATAAGTTCGTGGAAAAAAAACTGAAAAAGTTTCAAAAGGGGATATCGATAGTAACGAATGCTGACTCCGCTTAATGTAGATTCAAATTTAAAGTAGATCTGTCCAAAAAAGTTTCTGGTTGAAATTTCTACAAACGTTTGCTGACTAAGCCCATTTAGCAAGCTCAAGTAAACGGAAACTTGTCAAGCAAAACTAAGTAACTGCTTTCATTGGCGGTATGTAATATTAGTGCATGTTGTGTGACTTAAAAAGCAACGTAATCATCCCTTATTAGGCAAATGTCGATTTTGTTAGGAAAATGACAGGCGAGCTCTCACGATTTTGAGCCTTACTGAAAAACAAACCGTCGTCTGTTTGCAAAAGTCCAGAGCCACCGAGGCTCGGTAAAAACATGAAGTTCGAATCTTATTTCCTCTCCTCAATGACACAGCCATCCAACATCCAGGGTCCAGTACTATTGACTCACGCAACGACACTTAAGGTTTGGACACGTCATGGACAAAAATAGCCATTGTTTCGTCTGCTTCGCGATTCGTGCTCGCTAACCGATTCATCCGTCTAAATCTTGCCAAAGGAGAAATGCTGCTAATTTTGGTAGCGATTAACTTAATCTCACCTTCCGCCAGATGGGAATCATCGAACATAGTTTGACGATTTCTGGCATTTGCAAAACTAAAAAATAGGAAAGAATGCAGAATGCAGCGGAGAAAAATCATATTTCAAAGCTATTATTAGTTCCGCATGAGCGTTCTGAATTAATTTTACGAAATCAAATTAGCATCAATCTGTACATGATTACATGCTTCTCAAAATAGAACCAATTAAAACGTCTTCGTATAAATTGCGTGACCCCTAAGCAAACTTGGTAAGTCTGTACTGACGCTCCGTTGAGTTCACTTAGAGGAAAAATGGCTGGTTATCATCTTTATTACTTCGATGCGCGAGGTCGGGCAGAGATCATTCGACTATCATTCGCTGCTGCGAATATGGAATACGAAGACGTCCGATTGACTCGAGAGCAATGGCTTAAGGAGAAAGAATGTGAGTAGAAGGAAATATTGAAAGGAGATCACAAAACGGCGCTCAGTTTTCAAATCGTTTTTCTTTAAGTAACCTTTAACCGAGGAGATCTGTTTTCTCGTTTTTCTATAAGGTTAAGGTTCAGGAGCCGACTGTTAAATGAAAAAGCGGTCTGTTTCTGCTAATCTACACTGCTCTCTGAGAAAAAGAAAAAATGACTTTACAAGCCTAGGGTTCCTAATTAGCTAGTCTACGTTGCCTGAACAATTTACCGTCACAAAAAAACTATTATTTTTAAGCGATCGCACATTGTCCGATAAGATATACGTTCTCCTTATTGTGATGTGGTGAAAAGACGTGTTTTGGAGCCGGAAAAGGTCTTAGGTCGCAAACTTTGGCAAAAATATAAATGTTCTGTTTTTCCACCTGTATAATTGCTTCATAACGATGACAATGCAAATTTAAATTTCTAGAACTAATAGTCAAAACCAAAGCTCGTGGACGAGGTGATTTTGCTTTCCATGCAGTAAAGTCGGACAGGTGAACTTTTACAGTCTGGCTCTTTATTTTTTTTTATATATTTAAATCGAGAACAAAACCCGGAGTTCACTTAGTTTCTGAAAAATTGAGTCATACAGAAGGATTGCGTGACTCGGCTATTCTCGTTCCCAAGAGCTTTTAAGAAGCGCCGCGACTCAAAAATTAACAAGGCTACATCCAAAAATTACTTGATACGATCTAGAAGTTTACGAAAATTAAAAGTAATGCTTTTTTGTTATGAACTGATGCTGCACCTTAAGTTTCAACACTGCTAACATCATTGCAATGAGGTTGTCTATTTTTGACATTTTGTTATGATTTATACCTTATTTTATCTGGTTATCAGGCAATTGTTTGCACTCGGTTTTGAAGAGCCTTTAGGATGTGTTGATAAACGTATTGAACTGCCAATAGAATTTATCTATAGCTCCACTTTTATTTATGTTTTTATTAAGTAAACATATTCAGTGGTTGACATATTTTTTAGTGTTAATTTCATAATTTTTTTACTCACTCGATCTATTTGCCTGTCCCTCTCATAAATTTTCCCTCTGCTAATTATTTACTTTTGTTTCCATTTAACTACAAATTTATTCATATATATCCATATGTATCTATCTATCTATCTATTCATTTATTTATTTATTTATTTATTAACTCATTTATATGTCATCCATCTAGATATATTTATCTTCTATTTCCTTTTGTTAGCTGGCAGGCCCCCCTTGGGTCAAGCACCATTTCTCGTGACCCCCGACGGAAAAGTGCTCGGTCAGTCTCAGGCAATCACGAAGTATGTTTGCAGATTAGGAGGTAGGTCGTCACCATAGTGTAATAAATATTCCTTTATTTTTGAAGCAACAACAGTAATGTCACTATCCATTACTATCACTATGTCTCTGAAAAGTTTAAATTTCTCCATGGCCGACACCTAGCAATTTGTCAACTTCATCTCGTTCATTTTTTTTTCTTATGGTATATCAAGGTATGATATATTTCTTCCATTGTAATGCTATTGTTATTTATCATTCTTATTTTTGTAACTAGTATTGGTATCTTATCGCATATGTTCTGTTCGATGGAATAAATAAACTATTACAAAAGAAATTTATCACTTTGTAATGCATTGTGTCACATGTTCCAGTTTTGATTGACATGGAGATTTTGGCTGGCTGTAATATGCTCACATGTTCAAGTGTCCAGACTGATGTTTTTTTCTCATTTGTTTTTCAGTTGATTATTTTTCAATGCCCTCCAAAGGGATATTAATAGTCATACAGTACAGTTTCTTGGGCTTAAATATGTTTATAATGGCCCTTCTCAGTGTCCTTTTAACCCTCATGACTGGGGAGTGACAGGCTAAAATGACTCTAAGAGTCGTGACCAAAATTTATTAGATTAATTATGTATCGACCGATACATCAGTTGATACATTGGTCAAGAGTGGGTTGATACTTGACTGATATACTGCTCAACACTCGGTTGACACTCAGTTGATAGTCAGTTGACACTATGTTAAGTAGGTTAATAGCTGGCCAATACTCGGTCAAGACTCAGTCAATTGTTGAAAGTCTATAATTTCGACCAATAATTGTCAACTGACTGTTGGCAAAGTCTCGAACGAGTATCAGCCAAGTACCGACCAACTATCAACTGAGTGTTAACTGACTATTGGCTGCATGTCAACCAACTGTTGACCTAGTGTTGACCAATATATCGACCAAGTGTCAGGTGACACGACACTTGGTTGGGTATTGACCAACTCTGGACTGATATATCGAAAACTATATTAGTCAAGAGTACCTACAGTGAACATAATCCAACATATTTATGGCTGTGAGCATAAACTCTACTGTTTTTATTGCATTTAGGTTTGAGCCCAACAGAAAGTTTTGATGAGGCAATTGCTGATATGATTGTGGGTGGAGTGGAAGATCTTTTCCAATCTTTGATAAAGATTTTATTGGAAAAGGATGAAGCTAAAAAGGTACCCTCCCTTCCCATCTCACTTCCTCATTTCCAACACTTTTCTTCCACAGCATACAACCTTTTCCTCATTAACTAGCTCTGTCCCTCTAATTTCTTTCCCCCTCTCCTTTCCCTATCTTCCTCCTTTTCTTTTCTCCCATGCTCTCTCTCCCTTTTTTCCCTCTACTAATGCTTTTTTTTAAATACATACCCTATCCCCCTCTTCCCCCATTTGCCAACTATCTCCACATTTCACTTGACCACTTATTCAGTTATCACTCATTTTAAGCCAGTTCCTTCACTTTTTTCCCCTCATGTTGGTCAAAAATTATTTTGTAGAAGGCGCTAATGAAAGAATTATTTGAGGAAACTCTTCCTAACCGATTGCCAAAGTATGAAAATATTCTGAAAGCCAATAATGCAGGCAAGGGTTTCTTTGTTGGTGATAAGGTAAGAGTTTGTGGACAAAATCATCTGTGATCATAATTATTATATGTACACATAATTACTAACTTTGATTTCTGCACAAGACCCACCATTTAAGGCATGCATGACATTTCTTATTATTATTTTTTGTATCTACTATTTGGGAGAATTTATTCACATAGTTATTTGTACAGTAGAAAAAATTTTATTGAAACCTCTCGCCTTCACACTATTTCAAAAGATGTTGCCATGACACTAAAGAGCACTCTGTTTGATACAAACAGGTTTGAAATTTCTGTATTTTGACATAACCTGATTATGCCACAATAAATGAGCTAGTGCACCTGCTGAATGTATGACGTACTAAAAAACTTATCATTCTTATCATCAGCACGATCACTGTAATCATCATCATTATTTTTGCTGTCAGTTATTTTCTTCTTTTTATCTCTTTATTTTCTTTCTTTCTGCCCCTTCTCTTTTTCTTCTCAAAACTTTATCACACGGCTAACACAGATTTATTTTTACAATATTTATTCACAGCTTACATATGCTGACATCATTTTCTTCGACATGATGTACATGTTGGGAAATATGGAGCCTACTGCCTCGAAGACACTTGAAAAGTCCCCATTGTTGGCTGCCCATTACAAGCGTGTGCTGGATGTGCCAGAAATAAAAAAATGGGTCGAGACACGCCCAAAAACAGACCATTAAATGTTTTGTGATTCTGAACTATTGATGGTTACCAACTTTGTAGTGATAGAAAACAAAAATAAACTAGCTGAAAACGTATTTTCTGTGTGAGAACTGTATGTTTATTGAAACTTCAACTGCTCTTTGATCGTCAGTGGGGCCCATGGCCCAGGGCCCAGGGAGAAGACGTCTACTGGGCCTCTCGTCGTAAGAGGTAAAAGAAGACGACTAGATGACGTGGAATTGTCTTCATTAATTTAATAATAATGACTATCTTTCTTTATTTGTACATTTTTCATGTCCTGGTGAATGTTTGGGAGAATTTTAAAAAGACAAACGTGTACTATTGTGATTTGCATTTGTGCCGTTGTCTTTTTTGTTGTTGGTAAATACAAAGAAGCTCCTGAACTGCTAACAGTTCTCATTAAATTTTTAAGCCTTTATACTTCCCCCTATACAATTTTGTACTCTGACTACAAGATTTGATTGAGAACAAAAAACTGTCGATGCCCTCTCCGCAAGCGCTTGTGCCCAGACTTCTTCTGGAGTTCCTTTAGCATGAAGTGACGGAACGACAGAGCACATCACAGGCAACCTCCTATCCCTCCCTCCCCAGCCCCTGGAAACTCATCAGTTTTCCTGTATGGTTGTTGATACTTGATAAGGCAGCTTGCGCATTGGCTTTGGTTCAATCATGCTCCGGCCGAGACTCGCACCCGTCACTGAGGTAATTTTCGGTCCGAGGTCGATCAAGCGCGCCAAACATATCGCCGTACTATCCTCAAAGCTAGTACTATCCCGCCGTACTATCCTCAAAGCTAGAAGAAAATTTTAAAAAATCATTGCAACTTTTTCAGCAGTATCTTTATTCGTTAACACTATAAAATCAAGCATTCTCCTTCTACAATTACAGACAAATTGCCTAGCAGGGGCGTAGCCAGGATTTTTCCAAGGGGAGGGGGGGGGGGTCACAGAGGCAACTCACCATTTACACCGCTGCTCTCCCGCGTGTATCAGCGGGCTCAGTCGTATTACAGCGGCATGAAGGCCCATATTAACTAAATACAAGAGCCGTTGACGAAAATACTTTACCAAAAAAAACATTTTTTAAAAGTGGGCTTTTCAACAATGGCACTCACGGCCAAGATATTGTCATGGCGTTTTCGCCACCTGAATGTTGTAGATTGTTTGCTCTAAAGAAGGCCTACCAAGAGAGGGGGGGGGGAGGCACGGGCACCCCAAGACCCCTCCCTCTCCTGGCTAAGCCCTTGCCTAGAAGTCACTCTTGGGGCGTCTATCTAACCAAGCCCTTATTCATGGATTTTCCAACACTTTCTTAAAGCGCCATCAGCCTCGAGAATTTGTTGAGACAATCCGGGACAGTAGGTTGTCCGTTGTTCATGAAGCCGGTAAAGAAGTCGAAGAAGGAAATGTTGACGTAGGTCAACCAGAAAATTAAAAAGGATGAGTAATAACATCTGACAAACAACAGTTCTCTCGTATTGATGTCCATTTTCGTAAAATTACCGCTGGATTAAATAGGATGATACAGGCATTGGGGTATATATTAGAAATGGCAAAACCGTGAAAAATAAAATTAAAAAAAAAAAAAAAAAAAACATCCGAAACCGCAAAACCGCAAGCAGTTCGATCAAAACCGAAAACCGCATGCAAAACGGTCCGTTATCCAAACCTTAATCGATCCGGTGCAGTGGTGACAAGTAGAGCATTCAGAGGTTTCGAGATCAGTGGAGGCGTATATAATTGCTGCTTAGATCGAAGATAAAACGGAACCTTAGTAGGTAAAATCGAAAACCACATCGGGTCCCAAGTCCGAAAACCCAATAGCATTTTTAACGAAAACCGAAAGGAAATGCTGAAAAGCGGAAAATCCACAAACTGCAAAGAACGCCAAAACCGAACAACCGAAGTTTTTATAGCACAAAAACAGATCTGAAATATAGATAAAACTGCAAAACCGAAAATCCAAATGCCCCTTTCTGTAATTACAGGAATATAAATGTGACCTGCTGTAACCATAGACATAAGTTCGTCGTAAAAAACTAATTGAAAAAGTTTCAAAAGGGGACTCGATTTTAATGAATGCTGACTCAGCTAAATGCAGACTCAAATTTATAAATAGATTTGTTCGAAAAAAAGTATCTGATTGAAATTTCTATAAAAGTTTACTGACTAAGGCCAAAGCAGGCCCAAGTAAACGGAAACTTGTTAAGCAAAACTAAGAAAATGCTTTCATTGGCGGTATAAAATATTGGAGCCTGTTGTGTGACCTACAAAGCACCTATCATCCAAGATCAAATGTCGATTTACTGGGAGAATGACAGGCATTAATTAAGCTATTACGATTTTGAGCCCTACCGAAAAACAAACCGTCGTCTGTTTGTAAAAATCCAGAGCCACCGAGGCTCAGTAAAAAAATTACCTCCGAATCTTATCTCCTCACACAATGACACAGCAATCCAACATCCAGGGTCCAGTACTATTGACTCACGCAACGACACTAAAGGTGTGGATATGTCATGGACAAAAATAGCTATTGTTTCGTTTGCTTCGCGATTGGTGCTCGCTAACCGATTCAACCTTCTTTTAAATCTTGCCAAAACACAAATGCTGCTAATTCTGGTAGCGATCAACTTAATCTTACCTTCCGCCAGTCATCGAACATAGTTTGACGATTTCTGGCATTGGCAAAAAAGAAAAGAAAAAAGAAAGAAAGCGTTCTTGGGTCACAGAAGGTCGCCGAGAAAAATCATATTTGAAAGCTAAGATTAGTTCCACATGACCGAAATCAAATTAGCCTCAATCTTAAACGCGATGACATACTTCTCAAAATAGAACCAATGAAAACGTCTCCGTATAAGTTGCGTGACCTCCAATCTCCTTAGCAAGACTGCACTGGCGCTCTGTTGAGTTCACTTGGAGAAAAAATGGCTGGTTATCAACTTTATTACTTCGATTCCCGAGGTCGGGCAGAGATCATTCGACTATCATTCGTTGCTGCGAATATAGAATACGAAGACGTCCGATTGACGCGTGAGCAATGGGCTAAGGAGAAAGAAAGTAAGTAGGAAATATTGGAAGGAGATCACGACACAGCGCTTAACTGTTTTCAAAACATTATTCTAAATTAACTAACCTTTATCCGAGAGGTTTTTTTTTTCTCGTTTTTCTTTAAGTTTAAGGTTCAGGAGCTGACTATCAAATGAAAACGCTGTCTCTCATTGCTAATCCACATTGCTCTCTGATAAAAAGAAAAAAAGGACTTAATAGGATGGCTGCAACTAAAACTGTTATCGTTCTACGTTACCTGAACCATTTACCATCACAAAAACTATTTTTTTTAACCAATCGCACATTGTCGAATGAAATATACGCTGTCCTTATTGAGCAGTGGTGAAAAGACGTGTTTTGGAGCCGAAAAAAGTCTTGGATCGCAAACTTTCGCAAACGCATTACGTGCTGTCTTTCCACCTGTAATTGCTTTCGTATAATGATGACAATGCAATTTTAAATTTCTAGAACTAAAAGCGAAAACCAAAGCTCGTAGATGAGATGAGTTTTACTTTTCATGAGGTATAGTCGGATAGGTAAACTTTTACAGTCTGGCTCTCTAGTTTTCATTTATGTATATATTTACATCGAGGAGAAAACCCGGAGTGCGAAATTTTGAGTCATACAGAAGGATTGCGTGACTCGGCTATGGTTGATATTGTCATTCCCAAGAGCTAGCGCCGCGACTCCAAAATTAACATGGCTCCATCCAAAAATAACTTGACACGATTGAAAAGTTTACGAAAAGTAAAATAGTGCTTTTTTGTAATGAGCTGATGCTGCACCTAGAGTTTCAACCGAAAGCACATGAAAAGTTAATTAACATATTATACACGGTTAACATTATTGCAATGAAGTTGTCTATTTTTGATCGACATTTCATAATTACGTATACCTGATTTTCTCTGCATGGTTATCAGGTAATTGTTTGTACTAGTTTTGAAAAGCGTTTGGGATAATGTTCATAAAAGTATTGATTTACCTGTAAAAAATATTCATGGGTCCATTTTTATTTTTGTCTTTATTAGTAAACATATTGTGATTGACATGTTTTTAGTGTTAATTTCATATTTTGTTTTACTCAGTCAATCTATTCGCCTGTACTTCTCATCAACTTTCCCTCTGCTAATTATTTATTTTTGTTTCCATTTAACTACAAATTTATTGATATTTATCCATATGTATCTACCTAGTCACTTATTTATTTATTAACTCATAGGTATGTCATCTATTTAGATATATTTATTTTCTATTTCCTTTTGTTAGCTGGCAGGCCCCCCTTGGGTCAAGCACCATTTCTAGTGACTCCCGATGGAAAAGTGCTTGGTCAGTCTCAAGCAATCATGAAGTATGTTTGCAGAATAGGTGGTAGGTCACCACTATTAAATATAATAAATATTCCTTTATTTATGAAGCAGTAACAGTAATGTCACTATCAATAACTATCACTGTGTCACAGAAAAATTTTAATTTCTCCATGCCTCACTTACCAATTCATCAACTTAATCTCATGTATTTTTTTTAATTGTAGCGTGTCAAGGCATAGTGTATTTCTTCCTTAAATTTTGTAATACATACATGTTTAAATTTATTTATCATTCTTATTTTTATGTAATATCAATATCTTATTGCCTATGCTCTGTTTGATGAAATAAATGAATTATCACAAAAAAGTTATCACTTTAATTGTCACACATTGTGTCGCATATTCCAGTTTCAATTGACATGGAGATTTTGGCTAGCTAATTATAATGCTCACATGCTCTGGTGATTGTTCAGACTGACATTTTTTGTCATCTTTTTTTCACTTGATTATTTTTCAATGCTCTCTGAAGTGATATAATAATCATACAGTACAGTTTCTTGGGCTTAATTATGTTTTGGGCCCTTCTCAGTGTTCTTTTAACCCTCGTCTAGGGAGTCAGTCTAAAATGACTCAAAGTCATGACCAAAATTTATTGGATTATGTTTACTGTTGGCACTCTAGACTGATACATCAGTTGATATATTGGTCAAGAGTGAGTCAATACTCGACTGAGATAAGGGTCAACACTCACTCAACACTCGGTTGATGGTCAGTTGACAGTCTGTGAACTAGTCCACTACATTGAACATCATCCAATATATTTATGGCTGCAAACATAAACTGTGCTGTTTTACTGCATTTAGGTTTGAGCCCAACAGAAAGTTTTGATGAGGCAATTGCTGATATGATTGTGGGTGGAGTGGAAGATTTCTTCCAATCTTTGTTAAAGATTCACATGGAAAAGGATGAAGCTAAAAAGGTACCCTCCCTTCCCATTTCATTCCTCCTTTCCTACACCTTTCTTTCACAGCATGCAACCTTTTCCCTATGAATAAACTCTCTCCCTCTCACTTTTCTCCCTCTCCTTTCCCTACGTTCCTCTTTTTATTTTCCTCCCACCCTCTCTCCCTTATTGTGCTCTACTAATTAATGCTTTTGTTTTGAAATACCCTATTCCCCTCCTCCCCCATATACCAACTAACTATCTCCACATTTCACTTGACCTCCCATTCAGTTTTCACTCATTTTAAGCCAATTCCGTCACTCCTTTTTTTTTCCCATTTTTGGTCAAAATTATTTTGTAGATGGAGCTGCTAAAAGAATTCTTTGAAGAAACTCTTCCTAGCCGACTGCCAAAATATGAAAATATTTTGAAAGCCAACAACGAAGGCAAGGGTTTCTTTGTTGGTGATAAGGTAAGAGTTTGTGGACAAATTCGTTTATGATCTTTATTATTATACATTAACATATACTAATTAACTTTGATTCCTGCACAAGATCCTGTGTTTAGGGCATGACATTTCCTACCGTTATTTTTTCATATCTTCTATTTATAGGCCTATTTCAATTTATTCACATTGTTATGGTACAGTAGATGATATTAAAACCTCTTTCCATCACACTATTTCAAAAGATGTTACCATGTCAATAAAGAACACTCTGTTTAATACAATCAGCTTTGAAATGTCTGGATTTTGACATAACCTGACTACACCCCAATAGATGGGTGTACTTGCTGATTGTATAATATACTCAAAAACTTATCATTTTTATCATCATCACCATAATTATTGTTGTCATCATTATTTTTGCCATAGTTATTTTCTTCTTTTTATCTCCTTTATTTCTTCTTTTCTTCTCCTTCTCTTTTCTTCTCAAAACTTTAATGCAGTGCTAATACAGTTTTATTTCATAATATTTATTCGCAGCTTACATATGCTGACATCATTTTCTTTGACCTGATGAACCTTTTGGAGAAAGGTGAACCGACTGCCCCGAAGGCACTCGAGAAGTTCCCATTATTGGCTGCACATCACAACCGTGTGCTGGATGTGCCAGAAATAAAGAAATGGGTGGAGACACGCCCAAAAACAGAGCATTAATTCTTTTGTGATTCTGACCTGTTGTTGGTTACCAGATTTATACATAGAAAAAACAATAAACTAAACTGAAAACTTATTTTCTGTGTGAGAACTACATGTTTAACTAAAACTTCAACTGCTGTTTGATCTTTGTAAGGAAGGGGTCTGGGGAGGAGGGGCCTCTTGTTGTAAGAGTTTAACAAAGAAGACCAGGGCCCAGTTGTTCGAAGGCTGATTAGCACTAACCCAGGGTTAGATTTTTATCCAGGTTTCCATATTTCTCTGATCAAAAGCCGTTTTGGAATAGTTTTCCCAATTCGTTTTAGAACATTTAATCGTCAAATTGTAGACAAATAGAATTCAGCTGAATTTTCCTTGAAAGCTTTCAGATCTGAAATCAAACTTCACACTAACCCTTCGTTATCTTAACTCGGTTTTGAACAGTCCGGCCCAGATACGCGGTTATTTTTTAATTAATTTATCAATAATAACCATCGATCTTTATTCAGTCATTTTTGTTATCTTTGTCTTGGTGAATGTTTGGGATAACTTTGAAATGACAAATATGGATTATGGTAATATGCATTGAAGCCGTTGCCATTTTTATTGTTGGTACATACAAGCGAGCTCCTGAGCTCCTTTCGGTTCTCATCCGATTGGTTAGTCTTTATAGTTCCCCCTTAACAACTTTGTACTCCAGCTACAAAGTTTGATTGAGAAAAAATGTCTGCCCCGCGAGCGCTTATGCCCAGACTCTGTTGTATCTTAGGAAAATCAAGGACGAAATTATAACCAAACCCGCAATGAACATGAACATTCCAAGATCTTTTTATTCCTGTTCTTTTCTGCGCAGGCACATCCATGTACACGTAACACAACCATGACGTAACTTAATATAATGTAACACAAGTATAACAAAACAAGGTCACGATATAACACTCCTTCTGGAGTTGCATCACTGGCGCTTGTCTGCTCCTTTAGGACGGAACGACAGAGCTCTTCAGAGGCAACCCCTACCCCTCCCTCCCCACCCCCTTGAAATTCATCAATCCTTCCCGTATGTTTGTTGATGCTTGGTAAGGCAGCTTGCACAGTAGGGCTGGTTTAATCATGCCCCGGCCAAGACTCGCACTCGACCGGTAATTTTCGATCCGAGGTCAAGCGCGCATAACATAACGCCACCGTGTTATCCTCAAGGCTAACAGAGAATTTTAAAAAATCATGGCAACTTTTTCAGCAGTTTCTTTTATTCGTTAACATTTTTTTAATCACGCATTCTGCTTCTACAATTACAGACAAATTGCTTATAAGTCAGTCTTGGGGCGTCTATCTATCCAAGCCTTTATTCCTGGGTTTTCCAGCACTTTCTCGTAAAGCGCCGCCAGCCTCGGGAACTTGCTGAGACAATCCGGGACAGTAGGTTGTCCGTTATTCATGAAGCCGTTGAAGAAGTCGAAGAAGGTAATGTCGGCGTAGGTCAACTAGAAAATAAAAAGGATGAGTGTAACACCGTCTGAGAAACAACAGTTCTCTCACAATGATTTATATATTCCTAAAAATTACCCCTGGATTAAACAGGATAATATAGTAATTATGTCTTGTTTAATTTTGCTATACTGCTAGCGCTAAA